GGGGTTGAGATTTTGCATTTTGGGTTGCCCAACATTTTTTGACCTGTAAAATCTTGTGGAGTTTGAATCTTGGGTTGCCTAACCCCATTTTTTGACTTGTAAAATCTCGTGGAGTTTGAATTTTTCCTGAAGGAGTTCTGGTTTGAAGTTTGAACAAGAGGAGTTACTTTCTGTTAGAAGAGGATGCCCCTCTTCTAAATTTGTTTTGAAGGGTTTTGATCCCTTTCTTAGTTCGACAGGTTTGAGTTTTCTACCTTTTATGGGCTAGGAATCATTATAGTACTTGATTGTCAGTTATTCCTTGCTTTTTTGTTGTCTTGTTTCTGCTATTTTGTGATGAAAAAGCTAGATTTCTTACCTGTCAACTTCGACAGAATGAAATACACACTGGAAATTTCACTTTGAGTTTTGTGTAGAAGCCAGGGAAGGGGCTCTAAGGTATGGTTGATGTTACAACTGGCAAGGTGGATAGTAATCAATCTAAAATTACAAACAAGAATTTCTTTAATTCTCATTTCAAACTATCCCAAAGTCATTGATGGGCCCCAATTGAGAGGAACGACTCATACGTTCGGTAAGGGACCTGATCGAGTTGAAATTATCTCCTATGATCCAAGAGAATATTGGTTCATAGAATATAGATAGCTTTAATTGGCATAAACCATTGTGAGAAAACAAAAAGCCAAGGAGCCTCTTGTACTATGGAGTCGGTGACAACTACCACCATGAATTTTCATTTGTGATAAAGACATTCCTGAATTTTCACTTTGCAACAAATACCCCTGGCTGTTATGTCAAATGACAATGCATTAAATTATCAAAATACTCGCCTCAATTTTTTCTTATTTTATTTTACTTGCACTTTTCCTTGAGTCTATGCTTGGTTTGAAGGAAAAAGTAGGGAAAGGAAAGGAGGAAAGGAGGAAAATCTTTACAAATCTTGTATAGGTTTTCTTGGATTTCCCTTCATTTCCCTACTCTTAAATTCAAACCAAACCTAGCGTAAATTCGTGTTTCATTTCACTCACACAAATGCTTCTCTTCACCTCAAAATATAAAAATTATCCACTCCAATAAATTAAAAAAAAACAAATGAAACATTAAATTGATATTTATTATAAAAAAAATTTTACTATTTCATCTGATTATTAAATTATTAGCGGTGTCTACTTTTGTCTTAAAGTGGCATTTCCATCATAATTTGAGGGCAAAAATGACTTTTAATTCTTTAGGGTCTAAAATGATTTGTTTTTGACAAAATTCAAGGGTTGTCTGTGCCAAAAGTCCCTTTTTTCAGTACAAGAGGAACTATATCTCCCATAGGGTGAAAGTGAGGCTCTAAGAAAAACTTACAACAAGCTTCACATTTAGCCTTTCAAACTAAAAAATTCCATATTTTGCAATTGAATCTGGATCTAGCAAGGAAGCTACCTAGGGGGTGCCAATTGGATCGGATTTGGTCCAATATGATTCCATTAAAAATGTACTAGGTCCAATCCAAACCGATGAATACTTTGAAAGCATATTCAATGTCCAAACCAAGGTTCAAAGTATTGACACGTATCGGCCTGTATCGACCAATACGTATCATTTCGGGACTCCTCTAATACGCACATATAGTGGGTGTATCGGGGGTCTGACTGGTTCAGGGGGTGGAGGAGCCTTAAACTGGCCCCCTTGAACCGGTTTCAGAAAAAAAAAAGTAATAAAAAACAGTATCGATTTGCCCGATATGTCCCTACCGGCCTATCGGGCATATCGATATTTTGTATCTTGGTCCAGACCATCCAATATATTCAAATTGGTTTTAATTTAGATTTGTTCCAATCCAAACCTGGTCCATTGATACATGTATTCTTATCTTCTATCAATGGACTGGATATTTGTTCAATTTGACCCAATCTAATATAAATCCATTATGGATGGATGGATTAGGTCCAATCTAATCCAATAAATACTTTGAACCATTAAATCTGGACTAATCCAATTCAATATGTTTTATTGGTCCATCCAATTCATCCAAATTGATTTTGATTTGGTTGGGGTCCAACCCAAAATTGGTCCACTAATACCCTTAGGGAACCCGATTAGAACGGCAATTTCCCTGCTTTTATGATATTCCAAGAAAGATTTCATGATCGAGACAGAAAAAATGAATATGACTAAATTGCCTACTGTAGAACGAGTTCAATCAACCCCCCCTCACAAGACTGTCCCCCACAACGTTCCACAGCACATCCCTGCCGTGTATTGGGAATACATCATTATCGGAAGATATTCCCAATACACGGCGGAGACGTGCTGTGGGACGTTGTGGGGGGCTGATGGGACGTTGTGGGGGGGCTGATTCGTTCTCCTGTAGAATCCAGATTAAGTACTTGAAAGCTACTATAAAAGGAAATCTCTAAGATCTAGAGAGACTCACAGAAGCAAGAAACAACTGAGACAACTTAATCTGAATAGGGCTGAGCGTACTGGAGATTTCCATATATTTAGAACCTTAGCACCCAACATTAACCTCCATATATTTAGGAATGAAACAACTGAATAAGAACGTTGGGTGGATTGCTCTCGAAGAGACTGAATGAAGTCCCATCAGATGGATTTCAATTGACTCAATAAGAGTTGGAACTAAGATCAATCTAACAATATTGGCATCTCTATGAATAAAAGGTTTTTAAATAAATAATTAAATAATTTTTTTTTATAAAAATAAAATAAATAGATAATAATTTAAGAAAACCAAGTGAGTAATTGATTGTATATAAAAGTATTGCATGAAAATAACCATAAGATAATCATCTTCCATCAATAACCATTGGATAGATTAAGCGAGGTCATGGCCACTTTTCCATCAACTACAACTCTATTCAAGTGCAAGTGGGATGATATATGTGCAATTTAATATATACGCATAGGGAGTTGGGGATTATTTCATCATTGATTAATAGTTTTATGGCTGATTGGCTTTAGCAGATGCCAGTAAGCTTTACTTGCACCTATGTCCACTTATCCCCTTAAGAAGGGGTTGAGTCGGTTGACCGGTAAGTTTCAGTGTTGTACAGATAATCTGTGATTTTTCAAATAAGGTCAAATGGACGTCAATTCTTTTTATAATTATTTAATGAATTTGATCTCGAAAATCTACGACATTGTAGACTGTGGCGTTGACGTGGGCAAGCCCAGAGAATAAGGTCAAATGGACGTCAATTCTTTTTATAATTATTTAATGAATTTGATCTCGAAAATCTACAACATTG